AGACTACAGCAGAGATAAATGAAATTGAGACTAGTAAATGGGGCACCTGACTGGCTCAGTTGTGGGAGTCGCATGCTTGATCTCAGGGTTGTGAGTTTGAGTTCCACATTGGGTGTAGAGATTGTTTAAAAATAAAATTTAAAAAAATTAATTCAAAATGGACCAAGGGCTTAAATCTAACACAATAAAGACTAAAACAATAAGACTAAAAAAAATAGTACAAAAGCTTTACCACACTGGATTCAGAAATGATTTCTTGGATAGGTCAGCCACAACAAAAATAGCCAAATTGGATTTCATGAAAATTAAAAAAAATTTGTGTATCAAAAGACACTAGCAACAGAGCAAAAAGGCAACTCACAGAATGGGAGAAAATATTTGCATATCATATATCTGATAAGAGATTAATATGCAGAGTATATAAAGAACTCCTAAAACTCAACAACAAAAAACAAACAACCTAATTCAAAAATGGGTAAAGGATTTGAATAAACATTTCTCCAAAGAGGATATACAAATGGCGAGCAAGCCATGAAAAGGTATTTGACGTCACTAATCAGCAGGGAAATGCACATCACAACCACAAAAAATATCAGCCCATACCCAGTAGAATGGCTTCTCTTGAAAACACAAAAGATAGCAAGTGTTAGCCAGGATGTGGAGAAATTAGGACCCTTGTGCACTACTGGTAGGAATGTAAAATGGTACAGTCACCACGGAAAACAATATGCAGTTCCTCAAAAAAAACCAGAATTACCATATGAGCCAGCAATTCTACTTCTGGGTGTATACCCAAAAAAATTGAAAGCAGGGTCTCAAAGAGATATTTGTACACTCACGTTCATAGCATTACTCACAACAGCTAAAACATGGAAGCAACCCAAGTGTTCATTGACAGATGAAAAGATCAACAAAATGTGGTCTACACACATAATGGAATATTATTCAGTCATTAAAAGGAAGGAAATTCTGCAATATGCTACGATGTGGATGAAACGTGAAGACATTATGCTAAGTGAAATAAGTCAGTCACAAAAAAACAAATACTCGGGCACCTGTGTGGTGCAGTCGGTTAAGCAACTGACTCTTGGTTTTGGCTCAGGTCGCGATCTCAGGGCCATGAGATGGAGCCTCCTCTCGTCATCGGGCTCTGGGCAAGGAGTCTGCTTAAGACTCTCTCTCCCTCTCCCTCTGCCCTTCCCCCCATGCGTGCACACTCTCTCTCTCTCTCAAATAAATAAATAATCTTTTTTAAAAATGCTGTATGATTCCACATATCAGGTGCTTAGGGTAGTCAAAATCACAAAAACAAAGTATAATGGTGTCTGCTGGAGAGTGGGAGGAGAGGAGAATGGGGAGTTTCATTTAATGGATATAGAGTGTCCGTTCTTCAAGATGAAGAGTTCTGGAGAGGGACGGTGGTGATAGTTGCACGACAAGACGAATGTACTTCATACCACACAATTATACACTTACATGGTAAATTCATTTTATGTGTATTTTACTATAACGTTTAAATATTAATCTCAGCCTGAATGGAACACGAGCTGACAGAGGTTTTGATTTCTTCGAGCATCACAGAGAGACTCGGTGAATAAAGCAATCAATAGGAAACCCCACCCACTGTGTTCTCATCCCAACTGTCACAGGCTCTTTGGTGACCTTGGGATAACACACATAAGCATCCCAGAAGTAATAAGCAAATCTTAGAAGGTTGCTTCCATTTAACACAAGTATTTACTGAATTATCTACCATGGGCAAATTATCAGGTTAAAAAAGCACACAGTAGTACAGCAAATTAAAGCAGGGATATAATTAAGAATGAAGTCTGCCAGCGGCCTTGGATGTTTGGAACTCTGGCCCTAACTGTAGGATGTGGATACCTTTTAAGTCTAGAGTATTCATCACTCACACACACACATTCAGTGGAGACAAGCAGTAACTTATATTCAGTCGGCTTCCCTTCCCATAAAGTGCTGTGGAATGCTGGGGCGCCCGGGTAGCTTAGTCAGTTGAGCAACTGATTTTTGGTTTGGGCTCAGGTCATGATCTCAGGGTCCAGGGATGGAGCTCCCACTGGGGCTCAGTGGGGAGTCGGCTTGAGATTTTTCTCTCTTCCTCTGCCCCTCCCCCAACTCATGCTCACACACACACACTCTCTCTCTCTCAAATAAAATAAATAGGGGTGCCTGGGTGCTGCAGCCCGTTTAGTGGCTGACTCTCGGTTTCCACTCAGGTCATGATATTGGGGTCATGGGATTCAGCTCTGTGTCTGGCTCTGCGCTCAGCAAGGGGTCTACTTAAGTTTCTCCCTCTGCCTCTGCCCCTCCCCACCTCTAAAATGAATAAATAGATATTTTAAAAAATAAAATCTTTTTTAAAAAAAGAATTGTAGAGTGTTTCAGAAATATATTTGCAATGTATTTGTAATAATATTTGCAATATATTTTTAATAATTAATTACAGTTAACGAAGCAAAACCTCTTAAGAATGTAGCTGTCTCTACCATATAATGCAATGAAACAGTGTAACTTGAAAGTCAGTATGGTCAGAGAAAGACTAAGAATTATGTAAAATAACCCAGGAGTTTAGAGGTTAAGTCCACAGCCCACATGATGCACTCTTTATAGAGGTGTCCCCCCGCTGTCAAAAAAAAAAAAAAAAAAAAAGGCTGAATTGTTTTTTAATCACAGAAGTATTCAGTATGTTGAATAGAAAGCAAGCAGTTAAAAACTGAAGTAAACAGCAAAAGTTTCCCATCATCCTTATTAGCTCAATTTTAAGTTTGACAGACATTTAATATACTTTTAGAAACATCATATACTTAAAATATAAATCAAATATTATATATACTGCAACTCCCACTTTCCCCCACTTGCCATAAATCGGACATCTGTATCCCAAGCTAGTCCTTTTTGCATTTTGGGTTAATATCTTGTTTTAAATTACAAAATACAGGCTTTTGAGAAACCAAAACCTATAATTATGTATAAGGAAAATATTTCTAATTCTTTCTACCCTATGATGGTCAAATTTTGTGTCAAGTTGGCTAGGCTATGGTGTCATCGTATGGCAAACACTAGATGTCGCTGTGAAGATATTTTGTAGATGTGAGTACCATCCATAATCAGTTAACTTTAAGATTACACTCCGTGATATGGTGGGCCCCGTCTAATCAGTTAAAGGCTTTAAGAGAAAAAAACAAAACAAAACTGAAGTTTCCTGAAGAAATTCAAGACTGTAACAGAGGGGCGCCTGGGTGGCTCAGTCATTAGGCGTCTGCCTTCGGCTCAGGTCATGATCCCAGGGTCCTGGGATCGAGCCCCGCATCGGGTTCCCTGCTCAGCGGGAAGCCTGCTTCTCCCTCTCCCACTCCCCCTGCTTGTGTTCCCTCTCTCTGTGTCTCTCTCTGTCAAATAAATAAATAAAATCTTTTTTTAAAAAAAAAAAAAGACCATAACAGAAATCCTGCCTGAGTTTTCAGTCTGCTGGCCTGCTCTTCTGATTTCAGACTTGCCAATCCCCCACAGCTGCATGAGCCTATCTCTTAAAATAAATCATTTATGTATACACACACAGATGCATACACACCCTGCTGGTTCTGTTTCTCTGGAGAACTCTAATACACACTCTTTAAATCCATTCCCTACAAGCGTTAAGTTTGCTTTTTCCCTAAGAAATGGGTCCACGGTATATACGGGAGCCTGCATCTTTTAACTTTTTCCTACTTAATAACCTATCATGGACATCTTTCCAAGTCAGTAGGCTGAGATCTAACTCATTCTTCTCAAGAGCAACATAGTAAGCCACTGTATGGATTATTATTTAAGCAAGGGACATACAGACATATAGGTAGTTTCCAGATTTTTTTTGCTCTTCATTCTATTATTTGCATCAAGCTTTCAAGAAACCTATTTATATACACTGCCCTTGTCTTGTATTCCTGTTTTGTTTCAGAATGGATCTAGTTATAATCTACCAAATAAATTGTGTCTTATTTTCCCAGCTGCCAGTTTAGAAACAAATCACCTGGATTAAAAGCCAAATGTGTCTTAACAGGTACCATAATGCGCATGAGGGTTCTACTGTCCACAGGCCTTTGAGAAATGCCAGCGGCCAGTGGATCTCACTAACCTTCATATGAAGTCAATCCTGTACATCATTTAATCTCTCAGGTAAGAGAACTGAGAAAGCGCTCCTTTTTCCCCGACTCTCTTTTTTTTCAATAAACCACCATGTTTAATTCAAATGTTAATAAGACAGGCACCTAGAAAAAAATATGTATGTTTTTTATAATCTTATGGATGAGGTTTTTTTATTTTTTAATTTTAATTTTTGTTTAATTAAGCTTTATGCCCAATGTGGGGCCTGAACTCACGACCCTGAGATCAAGAGTCACATGCTCCACCAACTGAGCCAGCCAGGCACCCCAAAAAATATTTTTCAGTGAAAAAATTAATGACCTAGATTTGCGTGTCATCCCTGGCTCTTCTATGCCAACCAGAGGTGCCTTTGCCTGATCCACAGTTAACAAAACATCCCAGCCCGTCTCTAGCCAACACCAAACACTGGAAGGACTGAGGGAACCTGAAGGCGCAAGGCACTCATGTCATCACCCTGGTGTTCTGCATCTCTGAGGGACCTTGCCAAGCCAGTCCATGAATCAAAGTCACTGGCCTCTACTGGGCTACAGGGGATTTCATATAGTGGGAGGTCACACAGGTGTCCAGGCAATTAAGATGATGATCCTGGGGCGCCTGGCTCAGGCAGTAGCGCATGAAACTCTTGATCTCAGGTTGTAAGTTCGAGCCCCACACTGGGTGTAGAGATTACTTTAAAATTAAAAAAATAAAAATAAAAAGATGACCCCAACAACTTCTCCATGAGGAGAAATGTCTGTAGCCACCTTTACAAGTCCCATTTATTTCTACTCCAACCTTCTGGACTCTTTGGAGCTTGTCTTTGTTTAAAGGTCTCTATCCAAAATAACCACAAATCATTTGGATCATTATGTATTATTCCAGTTTATTAAACAATGAACAAGGTTTATGCCACATATTCCAACAATGCTTAAATAAAGAGCTTGAGATATAAAGGCTTATGAAAAATGTAGTCTTTACGTAATACATACTATTTCCAGCGCATGAATAAATATAGAGAACAGGAGCCATTTTTATATCACAGATCAGCAACCTTCAGCATCGATGATCACACAAATCCACAAGCAAACAAACAAAATCCATTATCTTCATTTTAGTCATAAAAGCTAAAAATCCTTTTGCCACATTTTAAGCAATATCCAAGGGGGTTGGGGGACTTGTAGTCACAGCCCCGAAAATAAGGGGACTGAGTCTCCAAGTCCTTAAGTTCTCTCTTGCGTGAACTCCTTCAGGAAGCAGAAAAACCAGAACAGGTTAAGATCCTGTTCTATAGAACATGTTTAATAAATCGACACTGGAGAAAGACTCCATTTTTGTCTTAAAAACATGATCAAGTTTTATAGTGAGGTTTGAGCTTCTTTTCATCCTGGTATGAACATGTACATAATCTGAAAAAATTGATACAATGAATGTTGCATGACGTTGACTCTTTACGTGGTTTTCAAAATGGACTTGCTTCTACTGTTTTAGAAATTATATGTACACTTAAAAAATATAATGTTTTCATTAAAAAAAAAAAAAGTGGTTCTTAAAAAGTAATCCTTTAAACTCAAGGAACTCAAAAGTGAAAGCCTTTCTGAGAAAGCCCTGACCAGGTTAATGGAATGTTTTGGTAGGAAGAAAAAAAAAATCTCCATCTAAAAATACGGTTCAGTACCAGGAGCAGGGCCCAAGAGAGCTCAGCTCTGCAGTCACATCTAGAGTGGGCCCAGGGATCTGGACTTTCAACTAAGTCTTCAATCAATTAACACCTAGACACCATTCTACCACTTCTTCCTTTCTCTTCTTAATGACTTTGTCTCTAGTTTGGAAATAACAATTCTGCCTCGCAAAATCTTTTTTGAAGTAGACATTAATAAAGAAGGCAACGTGAAAGTGATTGGCAGGAAAACGGCTCGATCCCCCAAAAAAACCTACACTCCTTCGATTCTGGGTTCAAGGGAGGTGGTGACCCACGGTGAGAACAAACTGGGAACCTGCCTGGCTAATATTGCGGAAGGGTCCACCCCAGAGCCATTGTCAGTGTGTATTCAATGTTCTCAAACGGTAGAACCGAAGGTACCCAAGTAACTATGTCCCCTTCCCTGGGCTGTCTTCTAGAAGTGTGAAGTTCTTCAGGCTCTTGGAGTCACTTTTTATGAAGGCAAGAAAGAAGAGGGAGAATGATTTTTGTTGTCTTTGGAGAAAGAAAGGAAGAGACTATATACCTCTTTCAGAAACGGGAAAACAGGTGCAGCACTAAAGAGATAGTTTCTAAAATTTCAAGCAAGTGTTTTCCATCCAACACCAAACAGGAAGTCTGAGACAGGACATATCTTAATAGAACCCGAACTAAAGTAAAAACTGAAAAATCTGGAAAAGTCAACTCTTCTATTCACTCGCAACATCTTGCTAAAGGAAAACATAATAAAACTGTAGCTTAGACTGTGTTCTCTCTTTTCACAAGGCCTTTGGCGAGAGCCTTTGCTGGGATTCCAGCGAGAATCCTTTCATGAAACCACTCTCTTCTGTACACCAGGCCGCTGATGCCGGGATTCTGGCGGGACAGCAGGGCTGAGGTCCAACGCCTACCCTCCAGGCAGGTACTAGCAGCTACTCTTGTCTTCATTTGACCCTCAACATCAAGAGGCGTTATTATCCCCATTTTACAGACTGGGAAATAATAAACTTTGCTAAAAATCGGCGCAAATTGCTAACATTACCTAAGACTGAACCGCAGCTGCCTCAAAGATCTTCCACCAACGTGGATCCTGCCATGTTCAAAGCCAACACATCCCACCGTCATGGGTTTAGAGATCAATACTTTGTAACAACTCCTCACAAAGGTCAAGCCTTCAGAGGCTGAAAATCACTTCTTGTAATCCTGCCGAAATCGGAAATTATAAAGCAGTGCAATATTCCAAGGATCTATTTCCTCCTGCACTGTTTCCACCTGGAGTTGAAAGGTTGTGAAATTTCTTCAGCTGACAAGAAGCGACAGTCCCCCACAAGTTCAGGAACAATAACACCCTCTTGGAGGCTCCATTCCATGGTTCCTGTGAGCTTCTCCAGAGCAGTCTGGCATTCTCAGCTATGAGCTGAGACACAACAGGGGCTCCTCTCCCCTGAAGAAAACCACACACAGTTCCTGATCTTCTCGCAGGTTTTCTTCAGCAAGAAACATGCGTTCCACACGCGGTCATGGAGTCGAAGGGCACTTGCATGGTAAGGACTAGCGTTCGGATGCTCGTTTCTAGCATGAGACATCTGAGGCACGGCTGCCCACACACAGCAACCGGAACTAACCCCATCCTCATCTGTTGCTCACGCTTCAGAATCTGCGATGAACCAAGCAGTGAGAAGCAGCGTGACACGCAGGAAGCTTTATTGTTTCGGAAGGGAGCCTTTGCAGAGCGCCGTCTCAGGCAGCCTTGACTTGTCACAAATCCAATTTCTTCAACTGCTCATATGTCACAAAGAACTGCAGTTACTGGTTAAGGCTGACAAAGAAGATGCTGTCTTAACAACATGGACACATGAAAACAGACTCACAGACAGCACATTTAACAGATACGCCTGGGCAGACCACGTGCCTTGGACAGGATTGAACATGAGGGGCTCCATCCTTACCCACCTCAAAAGGTCTTCCCATTAGCCCTCCCAAGGTCAGCCTGGAACAGAACCACCACAGCAGAGATATCTCTAAATCCCCTCACACCAGCTCCCAGAGCCTCTTCGAAGATGACATCCCCCCTGACTAGCTCTGGCGATCGCTGTGCTGGGCAGACTTTCCAGAACAGGGAATTCTGTGTGAAACAGAAAGACAGCAAGCCCTGGGAAGCTCTCCCCGAGGGTCACGGCGAGGCAGGCCTTCAGCAGCGGGGAGGCGCAGGTAAAGAGAAGCGGGGATGGTGAAAACCACATTCCCTTCTTTATAATTCTGCCCTTCCGTGTCTAGTGAACCGCCGCTTCTTTCCTCCCTCCCACTTTGGCATACAAGAAACAGTGCTAATCGGCCAAATAATTCAGGAGCTAATTCCTGTTTATCTGCAGGCACTCTCTAAAATAAGCATTCTAGAACACTGCTGCCAAACTGCATCCTTCCCAAGGGTGGCCAGGGATATCAAATCAGTCCCTGTCTCTCTCTCTACTCGTAAGTATTCTCAGCTTCGAAAACGGAGTCTGAATAGAAATCTGTATTGATGTCAGTCCCTTTCAATAACACCAGCACTAGACCAAGAGTCATACAGCCCAGCACAGAGATTTTACACCTGCTGAGATAGAAACTGCATCATCATTTCTTAGAATCAGAGGAACTCAAAAGAATAAGACGCCACTTCTAAATTATCATTAATAACATGACAGTTTATAATCCTCTTTTAGCTACATCTTTCTTCAGATGTACTGCGACAGAAAAGGATACAATGATATTCCAAGGACCAAGTCTCAACCAATTTGGCCAAAATCCTTTATACAGAGCAAAAAACCCTTCATTCTTCCATGTCTGTTATAAGGCGGGGGGGGGGGGGGGGTGGGGAGACAAGTTAACTTCCAACTTTCCAATTAGGTCAAATGCATTCATAATTCATTAGTAGCCAGACTGAATGATCTACTTTTCTTAAAAATAAAATCCTGTTTGAAAAGGCTGTCTAAAACCTCATTGCCCTCTGCCTCTTCTTGCTCCTTAAAGGATTCTGCATGGGAGAAGACAAAGGCTCCGTGTCAAACCAACCCACGCCAAAGCAGGCAAACAGCCACTGAGGGAGTGAGAAATGAGACTGAATCCCAACTGGAGTCTCTTGCCTCCTGGTCCCATGCGCTCACAAGCAGGTGGGAAATAAAGAAGTGAAGCAATGGTGGTAAAGACCTAATTCGGACCACCACTACTTCACGTCGCTGGGTGGATAAAAACACGCATCTCTGCTCCGCTGAAGCAGCCCTTGAAATCTAGACTGTGCCAGCATCACGCCCGAGGGCAGGAACAGCAAAGGGGGCCCGGATCCTCGGCTGCCGGCAATCTAGTTGGGGAGACAGCTGCAAACTTGCACCCCCTCGTGAAGAGGAGGCCCCCCTGTTTAAACTGAAAATTACAGTAAGAGCGATGTGTTCTTCTGAGAGATGTCTGAATGAATGATATTTGTTCCAGTAGGACTCGAGAGGAGGGAGATACACTGGAAGGAGACACAGTTCCACTGTGATGGCAGAAAATCTGACTATTTTCTCTCCCTTTACAGCAGAGCAGCGGTATAAAGGAAATACAATTTCACTTCTAAAGATTCATTTAGATTCTGTATTTATCAAAGTTAGCCCCAGTGTAGCCCAAACTGGGTACTATCCCAGGGCTTTAGAGCATCATTCATGTTCATTATAATAGCCCCCAAAATTTAGATACTTCTCCGGTTAAATAGATGTATACAAATAAGCGTGTGTGTGAATATGTATGTCTATATTCATACACAAACACACACACACACACATTTGGGGGGCAGTTTCGATGACTGAAACAAACCACTAGAATATTGAAGATTAAGTAAAATAAACTTGCTCATTTCATAAGTGTCCCTTATTATTATTAATTACACTAACAAGGCTAACTACACATGAATCCAAGCACTACGCTGTTTTGTAGGCATCATCTCAGTTTTTTACAATAATTCTATGACATACGTGCTATTATTGTCCCATTTCACTTATGAGGAAACTGAGGTATAGAATCTGGTATCTTGACCAGTCACACAATCACAAGTGACAAACCCACAGGTTTGTCTTGCTCTAACCCTTGTGTTTGTCATCGTGATAAGAAAACTCTTCAGAGGGGAACGAGTAAACTAAGGAGCTGTGAAAGGACTTCAGGACCCTGCCCAGGGGCACACCCACGCTCACCTGTAACAAGCAGTCCAGGGTACCTGTGTGGCCAGAACACCTGCCATCCCGAAGGACTCTCTGATTCATCATCCGTGTTCTCACAACATCGACGGGGTTGGAGGCCAGCGCCCCAGCCAGACCACAGGTGAAGCTTGAGCTATGAAAAAAATACCAAGGGAAAAACAAACAGTTCGGCACCGCTCAGCCACAACCACCACCATCAGAAGCAGGAAGCGGCCTCCTCCCAAATGACGCCAAAGTGACATGTAACAAGAGGAAAGGTTTCCAGGAGGAGGTCCATCACTAGAGCGCTGCACGAACTTCTTAAATGTGGCACTCATTAGAGTGGCCTACAAATTCCGGCCCCGACTAAGAACACCTTTGAGGTTCCGGAATGTCAAAGAATCGTAGAAACATGAAGGAATGTCCTCCAACGATGATCTAGTGCATCTATTTGCTATAAGCAGGACTCAGAGTAATTTCAGCCCTATCATAACCGTACCGCTCTTGGAGAGCAGAGAAAAAGACGTCGTCACTGTAATGCCCTCCAGGGGCCTCTGGGTCTACGAAACCTTCAGTCGCACAAGACTAAGACCACACCTGGTATCAATCAACTCAGGGCAGGGTTTCTCAACTTCCACACTCCTAACATTTTGGGACCAGGCAAGTCTCTGTTGTGGGGGGCCGACCTGTGCACTGTAAGCTGCTGGCTTCTACCCAGCAGGTGCCAACAGAACTCCCCAATCCTAACAATCAGAACAGTCTCCAGAAATTGCCAAAGGTCCCTTGAGGGGCAAAATCAGCCCTCAGTGGATGAAACCAGGATACATCCATATTAACCTGCAGCTATTTAAAAATACATGAAATTTGTTTGTACTGACACGGAAGGATATTTGGAATATATTATTGAATTTAAAAAAGCAAGTAAGAACAGCAAATACTGCGTGGTACCACTTATATGTGGAATCCATAAACAAAAAACAGAACCCGTAGAAAGAGAGCAGAAAAGTGTTGCAAGGGGTGAGGGATGGGGGAAATCGGAAGAGGCTGGTAAAGGGGCATAAACCTTCAGCTCTAAAATGAACAAGGTCTGAGGATTTAACATATTACGGGGTGACTATAGTTGATAACACTATCATATAACTGAAATTTGCTAAGAGAGTACAAGTTAAATGTTTTCACAGACACACACACACACACACACACAAAAGGATAAATGTGTGAGGTGATGGATGTGTTAATGAACTCTGGGGGCAGATCCTTTCACATTGTGTATGCCTATCAAATCATTATGTCATACGCTTTAAATAGCTCACAAGTTTGTCAGTTATACCTCAATAAAGCTAAAAAATTAAAATAATATAAATAAAAAGTAAGAGAATGTTAAGCATGATCTTGCTTGTGTAACATGTACACATAATATACGTTTATAGACATATTTGCATGTGCCTAAAAACCAAGCTGTTGACCATGGTTACCTATGTAAACAGATAAGGACTTTCACTTTTTCTTGGTTCACTTCTGAATTATAATTTTTCAAGTATGAGAATACTTTTATAATAAAACTTTAAAATTTCTATATATTTATAGCAAATTGCCACCCTGAACTCATGTATCCCTAAAATATCATTTTTTTTTTTAAATCTCTAAACATGGGCACCTGGGTGGCTCAGTCGGTTAAGCGACTGCCTTCGGCTCAGGTCATGATCCTGGAGTCCCGGGATCGAGTCCCGCATCGGGCTCCCTGCTCGGCGGGGAGCCTGCTTCTCCCTCTGACCCTCCCCCCTCTTGCGCTTTCTCTCTCTCATTCTCTCTCTCAAATAAATAAATAAAATCTTTAAAAAAAAAAAAATCTCTAAACATACAGGAAGTGGGTATACACAGTGTCTCCCATTAGGCCCGAGAGAATCAGATGCTTCTTGGTGAGGTCGTAGACCGGTAGCTCCACGCCGACAACAATGGCAGCCCTCTGGGCCGTAAGGGACACGCCCTGGGTGAAAATACAAATAACCAAGATTCAGACATCTCTCCATGGAACAGGCCTTGAAAAAAACGACAGAGTGAGAGAGTAGAAAAGACCGGAGGGTAAAGAACTCAGAAGCTCCCATGCCCAGTTCTGATCTGGCACTGACTGTATGACCTTGGCCAGACCCTGGCCAGGCCAAGTCGCCTCACAGAGGCTCCGGTTTCCTAGTACATACTGAGAAGACTCTACTGGATGACCTTTAGGGTCTATTCTGTGAACTGACGGGTGACTAGACTACCAGGGAACAGCACTCCATACCAGCGCCTGCCTATTAACGGTCTTCACTTAAGGACCAGGAAAACACACAGATCAAAAAGTCCAGCACAACTATAACCTAGAAAACCCTTCTCCAACAGAATTTTTTTTTTCAAGTAAACAAACGAGAAAGTGCTCAATCTTCACAGAATCTCTTATGCGTGAATTAGCCAAAAGGCACTTTAAAACTATGACATATTCTTTGTATTCCCATTTCACACGTAATGAAATTAAGAAAGAAAGTAACTTCGAGGGCGGACGTCACTCTTCTTCCCGTACACCATTTTGACATTCGGATTAAATAAGAGGATGGAAATAGGAAAAATAAATTCAAAGAAGGAAAACGGGGAAGAACTAAGTAGGGAAGTTGGCTCTGTTTTGCGGACTTACCTTCCACAGTCCCCTTGCTCCCTCTTGCTGGTAAATGTTAATGAAGTTGCCTATCATTCCACCTTGAAAGGTGCTGCTTTGTGCCTGCATCCGTATCTAGAGATTATTTTAAAGATGAACATGAGAAGGAAAGCACGTTTCTCTCTGAACGTAGACTTCTGAAAATCATTCAATCTGTTGTTTACTAACCATTGAAAGAATCGCAGTATAAATAGGACTGTAATGCTAGTTTAAAACGCCCTTTGTAGGATTTATAAGGATTTAACATTCATAAGGATTGGTTCTGAGGCACTTTGGAATCAAAAAATGGATTTTTAAGGGGCGCCTGGGTGGCTCAGTCGTTAAGCGTCTGCCTTCGGCTCAGGTCACGATCCCAGGGTCCTGGGATCGAGCCCCGCATCAGGCTCCCTGCTCAGCGGGAGGCCTGCTTCTCCCTCTCCCACTCCCCCTGCTTGTGTTCCCTCTCTCACTGTGTCTCTCTCTGTCAAATAAATAAATAAAATCTTTAAAAAAAAAAAAGAATGGATTTTTAAAAGTAGTCTTTTGAAAAGGAAAGAAAATGACATATTTCCTTGTAAGTTACTGAACAGGAAAGAGAATGTGATGGTATGCTAAGATTTCACATAATTGATAAGAGTATCCAGCACACTTGGCAGCACTAAGCATGGACAAGTATATTTCTTAAATTAGTTACTTCAAGCCACTACTATTTCCAACCAGCTGAACCAAAAGGTATGCAGGCGAGCAGAGCACGAGATGACCACATGATGCCCGTCACACTCTGTTACACTTGAACTTACAAATAAACTTGACAACGGCCGTGGAATTCAAAGGACCGAGATTCCAACATAAAAATAATGTTTGATGTAGCTCTCTACATTTTTTAAAGGGTTTTTTCTCACTAAAAATTGGTACCTTATTTTTGTTTAGGGAGCAGTTATCTCTAACTTCTAAAAGAAAGTGTTACTGCCATGCTAACATGGGAAAATAAACCAAACTACGGGAACTGCCTTTCTATGAGCCCCGACAAATGTTTCAGGTATTAAGAGGCGTACGGATATTTTTCTCCACTTTTCCCCAACGAAATCCTAGCAAAAGCACCTTCACCGTGCCGAGGTGTAGCATACTCCGCATACTGCTGCAAAAAACTTGGATGTTCGTCAGAATCTCCTATTGGAGTGAAGGCTCTGAGGGCAGGGTCCTTATCTTACTCATTTTTGGATTCTAAGCATGTAGTACATCAACTGGTAGAAGGTAGAAGCAGTGAACACTGGTTAACTAATAGGAACAAAAAAGGAGAGGGAAGGACAGAGACAAACATCCTAAGAGCACTGAAAAAGCAAATCCTGGGCACCTGCGTGGCTCAGTCGGTTAAGCGTCTGCCTTCGGCTCAGGTCATGATCCCAGGGTCCCGGGATCGAGTCCCGCATCGGGCTCCCTGCTCAGCTGGGAGTCTGCTTCTCCCTCTCCCCACTGCTCATGCTCTCTCTCTCTCATTCTCTCTCTTTCTCTCTCAAATAAATAAAAATTAAAAAAGAAAGAAAAGAAAAAGTAAGTCCTGCCTAATTTCTATTTTGTTTAATTAGTTTATTTCCTTGTCTTTTTCCAGAAAGGATCTAAGGAGGCTGTATCCCTGGTATATCAGCAACAAGGTCATCCGATGCGTTATGTCTAACTGTGGTAAGGACGTATTTCCATTCGTATTTCCTGAAATCAAGTTAACAGATAACATCACGTGTTCAGAAATGGTCATTAGGGAGCAGATTTGTGGAGAACTTGCAGCCCATCCATTTTTAATGAACCAATAAAACCTGGAAGATTTTCAATGAAAAATGAAATTCAAATGTATTCAAGCCCAAATTTTTTTTCTGCTTAATCACCAAAAACCTTGTCTCCACAATGAGCTCTACTTTTGAGTTCCTCTGTATCAGTGGGAAATCCATCCAGTGGATGTTTCTAAGTTAGAGTCTTCATGGCACTTAAATTATAAACAAGTTCACACATATAGTGTATGTTATATTTGCAGCTTTTCATTATCTGAATGTTGTTCTCAATAAGAAAATGTGGGGTATGCCTATAAGATATGGATCGTACTGCTTACTTTCAAAACATCAGTTGGATTAGCGATGGTTGAGGATACGACTCCAGAGAGAATTCCACACACCACATTTATCAGTAGAGTTTCATCTATAAACAAATACATATTATTCAACTTTTCGTATACACAGAGCTCTTCATATCAGTCACTCAAATATAGGTGTAACTCGTTTACATGTCACTTGTACATCTTTAGAGAAAAGTAAAATTTCTGCTTTATGAATAAAGCAATTTTTTAAAGATTTTTTATTTTTTTAAAATAATCTCTATACCCAATACGGGTCTTGAACTTAAGACCCTAAGATCAAGAGTCGTATGTTCCACTGACTGAGCCAGGCACCCTTGAATCAAGCAATTTTTAAAATATCAGGAATTTTGCTGGCTTAACAGGATTTTGCCTAGCAAAATGACTTGATATCCAAAAAAGGAATGTGAATTATCATGCAAAGTGAACAACCATGTACCAATTCACTTTTGTGTGTGTAAATGCAGACCACTGTAGTAATTAAGATGAGGTATATCCCACAGGAGAATAAAAAAGATACACTCCTGGGGCCCGTAGGTGGCTCATTTTGGTTAAGCGTCTAACTCTTGATTTTGGCTCAGGTTATGATCTAAAGGTCCTGGGATCGAGTCCCACGTCAGGGTCCATGTTCAGTGGGGAGTCTGCTTGAGATTCTTTCTACCTGCCCTTCCCCCCACTCGTGTGTGTGCGTGCTCGCTCTCTCAAATAAATAAATAAATCTTAAAAAAAAGAAAAGAAAAAAAAGATACACTCCCAGGAGATACCGAGAAGATAAAAGTTTTAAAGCACACTGTATATATTTAATGTGAAATATACTGAAGTGCTAAAGCATCTTAGCTCCTGTTGACCACTCTCATATAACAGCTGACTAGCACTCGTCCCATTGTAAAAAAAAGAAAAAGTTCTACGGATTAAAGCAAAGTCACAGAGACAACTAGCAATAGAGTATTAGAATTCAGTTCTTAATACTAAGAAGGGTATTCACTGCTTTCCTGAAAAAACAGGTTGTAATTCCTGATTTTAGAAATTTTTAAGTTGGCTCAAACTATAATAACACACACTGTAGTCTGGGTGTTTTGGAGATGAGGATAACTAAAAATTTGTTAAGATTGCTCTTTTAACTGTCACTCCCCTAAGTTCAGCTAAGAACGATGTGCTTTAAGCACCATTCATTCAGACTTTACATCCAGAGTTCTCCTCAGCAGTAGTAAAGTCCCAGTCAGGCTCAAGAAATTCTGATCTTGCCTTGACTAAAAAGACACACAACCCCCCCACCTCCTGTCCACAAGTGGAAAAGAGATTCCCCACTCACCTTCTGGGTGTTCAACAAACAGCCGCTTCAAGCTCTGGTAAATGCCTATCTTGATAGTGCCGTAGGAAGCCTGGCGTAACATTGCAGGGGCAATTCTGTCAAACCAACGGACAAAAGGACAAAGTAACCCTAAAAGTCACTTTAACTCCTCTAGAAGACACACACACACACAGAAGCAATCACATGTGCCTTCCACAATCAAACTATGCTAAACCAGATTTCTCACAATTCAAGATCCAACAAAAATATAGCTGGGTTCAGTTAAATTTGTGCCAATTATTAGTTCACGAAGTGAAAGCTCAGCCCCTTGTAGTTATCCTTAATGAAAAGTTAAGTGAATGTGGAATTCTAAGCTGCTCACCGGTGTTCAAGGGAAAAGGCTCTCCTTGCTCGGGACAAAGCGCCCGGTGAAATCTGCCCTCTGCAAGCATCCAGCATTCTTCCACTGCTGCTCTGGAGCTCATCTCCCACCTTGTTGGAGGCCCTGTTCTGGTATTTCCTCTCCCTCTCTTAGCCTTCTGGACACCAGAACCACCCTGGGGCAGTTATCCGCCGCTGTTCCTGCACTTCCCACCTCTTCTCCAAATGCAGTCTGCCTTCCCTCCCCCTCTCTCCATCAAAACTGCCCTCAGTTGAGGTGACCGGCTGACATCTCTGTCACTAAATTAAATGATGTGTTCCACTTAGTACCTTACACAACCTCTCTGTGGTATTTGCTACTGTCCACCCTCTGTCCTCCACGCAGCGACCTCCTCCCTGAGCTCCGTTAACGTCCCCCTCTCCTGTTTGTTTCCTTTTCTCCACAGCCTCCTACTTCTGCCATCTGGGGGATCCCCAGAATTCCATCCTGTGCTTCCTTCTCTCCCCACTCTCCACACATTCCCATGCTTCCACCACTGTCAGAGACTCAGGACGCCTGATTCCTGCTTCCAACCCGGATCCAATGATGCATTTCCAACTGCTTCGTAGATTTCTCAATGCGCATGTCCTAGCCCCGGCCCACCTCTGGATCCAGAGTCCCACACTGAACTCACTATCCTCCCGCTCCAACCAATCAGCTCTCCTCTCTGTTTCCCAGACTAGGGAATGGAAGCTCCATCTACATTTTGGCCCAAACCAGAAATCAAGACATCAGCCTTGTCCCCTGCTTCCTCCACACCCCCTCACATATTAGGTCCCATAATATGTCAACCCTACGCCCTAAACAGCCTGTCTTCTTTCTCTCTGTCCCCAACACAACACCTCTGTTCAGATCCTGCTTCCAGCGTGACAGCCTACTTCCAGTGTCATCAGTCTTTCATCCCGTCTCCCCGTGACAGGCCGGCTTCTCTTCACCATGGAAACCCTATCCTGTCAGTCTCGCACTTAAAGCCCCCCCCAGTAGCTTCTGCCCACCACAGGCATAGCAAACTCAAGTGCCGACAGCGCCAGGCAGATGCCTTAAGTGAGTGACGCAGGCTGGGTCCAACTGCACACACATACACCGCGTGAGAGGCAGAGGTTTCAGGAAACCAGAGAAGCCCTCCTTGATGCCTGCTCCTATCATCCTAAGTGAATGAATGTGGGCCCAGATGTTGACTTTTTCCAAGAAAATGGAATCCCAGGTTTCTGTGTGCAATTTCTCACAGCTGAAATATTGGCCCAAGTGAAAAACAAAAACCTTTGGTGACGGTGGGTGGGAGGGCTGTGAGGCCCGGATTTGGGACCTATGGTGTAGCGGAGGAGATCAGGATGCTTGGCCTGTCCCGAAGCTGTCCATGTCCTGACCCCTCATTAGGGCTCCAACCCCAGCTCTTACCGCTCACCAGCCCCCACGCTATACCCATGCCGAATTACTTGCAGTTCATAGAATGTACTGTGCTTTCTTGCACACTCTACTGGCTCTGTATAAATACAGTTCCCTTCTAACTTCACCTGGCTAACTCACTCTTCTTGATCCTGCAAGCTCAGACCGGGCGCCGCCTGCACCAAGCAGCCTTCCTAAAACCCGCTCTCTTTCCTGTCCCCACACTCTGGGCTTGACGCTCTGCCTCTACCAGACTCTAGTACTCATTATCAGACTCCGCTGTATCCCCCGTTCCCACGTCTGCTGTCCCCACTAAATGACAGCTCCTTCACAACCGTGTGTTGCTGCTGATCCCCATCTGTCCTCCCAGATCCAGTCTCTCAGCCTTCTCTGTGATGCTCTGCACGCCGGGAGGGTGGTGCCCGCGGATTACGTCATTCAGGTTCCCCTGCCAGCTGACTTCCAGGTGGATTCCACCAGTAGACGATGGGATGGAGGGAGGGAGGAAGAAGAGGGATTCTCCTCTCCCTGGGCACTACCAAAGCATCCCTCCACAATGACTGTTCGCTCCTTCAAGGCTCCAGTCTTAACAGGCTCTGCTAACACCATTCCCGTCCTTGTCCTTTTGGTCCTAGGGTTGGTACCAATTTCTCACTTTGATAGTTTCTAGGTACCTCAATATCCTTCCTTTGTTCCCTTAGCCCTTATGCAGCCCCTTCATTAAGGTCTCCTCACTGAAACCACCCAAGCAAATTCTGTTTTCTGCAGGGACTCGGGCTGACATACTCACTTTCCCATCCCGCACCTTCACACTGTTCGATAAATGTTGGATTAAAGGAAAGTTGTTCACAACCCTTACCCATACAGGATACTCTGTCATTTTCCTTATAGCAAAAACCTCAGTAATTCAGAATAGCCAAGGGGAAGGGCTTTTTTCGGAGTGAAACACTGAATTATGGAATGTTTTTTGGAAACAAATGTAATTTTTGCATTAGTATTTGTATTTGAATATAATAAAAACATACTTTCACCACAACGTTCATTACATAAAAGATATATAGAAAATAAAGCTGAAATGAAAAACGAAAAACCTGCAAACTACTTTCTCTTTTCAAATATATCTCAAATTTCTAATTTTTCTCCATGAAGTCTTAGTTTTCAGTCTATTCATTTGGAAGGTCAGTAGTCAAATATAAAAACACAAAGGTCTACTTACCCTGAGTACAGAGCTTTCAGCCCTTCTTCTCTGCCTATCCGCACTAACGCATGCAACATTCCTCGATACCTGATTTCTTTAAAGTTTGCATCATTTGTCTGGCCTTGAATCTGGAGCCGTGTCTTCGTTAAGTCAATTGGAAAAGTACCTTAAAATTTTTTTAAAAAGAAATAAATAAAATCTTTAAAAAAAAAAAAATCTCTAAACATACAGGAAGTGGGTATACACAGTGTCTCCCATTAGGCCCGAGAGAATCAGATGCTTCTTGGTGAGGTCGTAGACCGGTAGCTCCACGCCGACAACAATGGCAGCCCTCTGGGCCGTAAGGGACACGCCCTGGGTGAAAATACAAATAACCAAGATTCAGACATCTCTCCATGGAACAGGCCTTGAAAAAAACGACAGAGTGAGAGAGTAGAAAAGACCGGAGGGTAAAGAACTCAGAAGCTCCCATGCCCAGTTCTGATCTGGCACTGACTGTATGACCTTGGCCAGACCCTGGCCAGGCCAAGTCGCCTCACAGAGGCTCCGGTTTCCTAGTACATACTGAGAAGACTCTACTGGATGACCTTTAGGGTCTATTCTGTGAACTGACGGGTGACTAGACTACCAGGGAACAGCACTCCATACCAGCGCCTGCCTATTAACGGTCTTCACTTAAGGACCAGGAAAACACACAGATCAAAAAGTCCAGCACAACTATAACCTAGAAAACCCTTCTCCAACAGAATTTTTTTTTTCAAGTAAACAAACGAGAAAGTGCTCAATCTTCACAGAATCTCTTATGCGTGAATTAGCCAAAAGGCACTTTAAAACTATGACATATTCTTTGTATTCCCATTTCACACGTAATGAAATTAAGAAAGAAAGTAACTTCGAGGGCGGACGTCACTCTTCTTCCCGTACACCATTTTGACATTCGGATTAAATAAGAGGATGGAAATAGGAAAAATAAATTCAAAGAAGGAAAACGGGGAAGAACTAAGTAGGGAAGTTGGCTCTGTTTTGCGGACTTACCTTCCACAGTCCCCTTGCTCCCTCTTGCTGGTAAATGTTAATGAAGTTGCCTATCATTCCACCTTGAAAGGTGCTGCTTTGTGCCTGCATCCGTATCTAGAGATTATTTTAAAGATGAACATGAGAAGGAAAGCACGTTTCTCTCTGAACGTAGACTTCTGAAAATCATTCAATCTGTTGTTTACTAACCATTGAAAGAATCGCAGTATAAATAGGACTGTAATGCTAGTTTAAAACGCCCTTTGTAGGATTTATAAGGATTTAACATTCATAAGGATTGGTTCTGAGGCACTTTGGAATCAAAAAATGGATTTTTAAGGGGCGCCTGGGTGGCTCAGTCGTTAAGCGTCTGCCTTCGGCTCAGGTCA